GGGGGGGGGGCGTTCTCCCCATTTCGCGTTTTCTCCTAGGCGTAGCCAATTGGAAGCGAAGCTTTGCGACAGTCATGAAGTGGCCCGAGCCAATGTCAGCTCCACGTCGTGAAAGGCGCTTTGCCCTTTCCTGCTGACCAGTATGAGGTCTAGCTGGCTCTTGAGGTCGTCACTCTGCGTCTCCACGTCAGCTGAGGGATGTGACCATTGGGAAACAGCGTACGACCACGTGGTCGTACGTAGAACAAAGGTCCACCAGCCACCGACCGTTTGCATTCAGCATCCCGGAGCCGTGTTGATCCATCACATGATGCCGATGTCAGATGGAATTGTCTACCCTAACGTGCGCGTTCATGTGTCCGTGAACGATCGATAATTGCTGGTGTGGAACAGAGTCGAGAATAGCATGCAAACAGGCGTAGAACTCGTCCTTCCTTAGATCGTCCGCGACAGTTGAGGGGGGGCATACACGACCACAACATAGTTCTTCACCTTGCTGCTTGACTGCCTTTAATTTCGGTATTGTTATTTAGGTTCCGATACCGTCTACGGATTTTCCCCGTTCATGAAGGAACAGAGCGTTTCCCGAGTTAGAAAAAAGTCTTCTGTTGTAAAGCGGTTGATTTCCTCACGGCTTTAATCGTTCCTTCGCTGTTTGTGAATCTTATATTATGTATTTTATGGTGGTTTCAGTCATGAGGCATAGAAATCAATTCATGAACAGGTATAATGGTATCAAGTTTAATCGCTATAACAATACGATATTCCTAAAGAGCACCGTAAAAGGATAAGTGCAAATCATTAATTGACTAATTTTCCAGAAAGATGTTGAGAACGTTTTTTGACATTTTTCTCCGTTCGTTTTGGCTGATCAGCATTTCAAAAGAGTGGAGGACAACAGAGCGGAGAGTTGTGCGATGTAAAGAAGAAAGTTGAAAAGGATTGCCTGTGAGTAGCGAAGAAACGGCAGAGTATATAGGAGTGATATACCTGCACCCAATCAAAGGGAAGACGAATCGAACGAATAAAGGATGCGATGCCAACAGTAAGAATTTTCAACATGGTTCAGACCATTATAAGATTTCTAAACAACAAACAAGCGATTAACGTCGTCAGAAGATGAACCGTGTAGATACAACCGTGGCCAAAGTTGAAATGCTGCCACTAAAGACAGCCAGGTAGCAAAGAAGCGAAAAAGAACCTACAGGCGAAAAACCGTATGGAATGCAGAGCTGGACGGTAGGAAGGCAATAATAATAAATTTAAAATACTGAAATTAAATAAAAAGGAAGAAAGGAGTAGGGAAAGAGAAGTATCAAACCATATGACATAGAACGAGATTCCAGTAAGGTGAGAGGTATTTAAAACGTATTTAATCTACGTCACAAGATTCTATAAGACCTTGAGCAATTAACTGTTGGAAATGTTGCCCATCTCTTATTTACAGTTTTCGATGTATTCTTTCTGGTTTCACTGTTTTTATATCCGGTTATTTGCAGCCATTGCTTTTCCAGATTGAGAAGTGAAAACGCGATGATTTGAGCGTGTATTTTGAATTCTTCCAGAAAGGAAGGCGAAACAGCTACTGCTAGCCCAACCGACCGACCGAAGTCCCTTGTGACGGCCAAGAATAACCTTGGACAAATGTATGGAAGGAGTCTGTTCTGTAATCGGGTTATCTTCTGCCAAAGCTCAAACTCTAGTATAGGATCGAGGTCATTGGATACATTGTCTGAAGCGTCTGCCTCCACGACCCGAAAGGATAAGCAGTCTTCGAAACTGACAGACAGACAGATTAACTAATGAATTGACTGATTGATTGATACTCTGTTACCGTTAATCAATCAGCCGAGTGGCAAGGAAACCTTGCCGAATTTTTTCTCAGCTTTCGTCTTCTCCGTAACATGAACAATCGACTTCAAAGCGGCAGTTTTGTTTAAATAGATGTTAAGTGACTGCGTTCCTTACTGTCGGAAAGAAACGCTCCATTTTCCGCTGCACTCGTATTATATGTTACTACGTTACTTACGCAGGCAGTGTACCTGCAAATATCACTCCACCCGTCGTCCATCCATCCATCCGTTTTCAGTCCCCGTTTCAGTTTTTATTGCATGTAACAGCATCGCAAGGTTTCCCGTAACATCCCCCTTTTTCATCACCAATCGAGCAGACCCAATGGGTGAATTTCAGCGAGCAGCGATGGTTCGTCAAAGGCTAGAAGAGAAAACTGGGCGGAACTAGTGGACCCGCCCCGTGTGCACAAAATTTGATTTGCCACACTACCGTCGGTCCTGCCAGCGGGTGGGTGGCACAACGTCATGCGCTGTGACAAGCAAAATATTGCCTTCGGCACAGTTTGCCCAGGTGATCCAGTTGGACTTGTTGAACATGACATCAGATCATCATCGACAGATCATCGGTAAATTTTTAATCCTAATTTCGTTTGGTTTATCATGGCTTTACCGCGTGCGTTCTTTCGTCACGCGGTACTGTGATTTCCTCACTTCTTTGCATCCTTAGCTGGAGAGCGTCGTGATTCGTTCTCCTGATCGATACCTTGATTCGTTTATTGAATTTTCGTGCATCTTCGAATGTCGTTTTCATGTCTATTCTGTCCTTCTCGCACTTAACGTCCTCTCAGTAGCAGTCGCGATGCACTTTTCAATACCCGCTGTTTTGTCTGCTCCTTTCGCATGAAGGTTTCATGAGGTTGCCTCCCTCACGTGAACGCTATGAATTCTTGTCGCTTTTGGTCCTTGCTTGTATTGTATGATTTCGATCCTCGACATTTTCGGTCTTTCAAATGAACCTCTTTGACTGACCGATGCGCAGATGCTGTACGTTCAACTGATCGGTGTGGATTAATGGATTTTACGCGAGAGACGTTTGCCTCGACGTTATGTACACCTACCTCGAAACATTTATTTCAGCCGATGACTGAACACTCGTTTTGCGCAGCCTGTCGCTGATTGGTAATTCGACTGCAGAATTAACTGTTACCTCTGAAGTTCGTTACTGTGTTCTCACCTCATTCTTACTGATTATGTGTCATTCAGCATTTAGTCATTTTGTGCTCTGAAAGTGCGTTCAGTCACCATACTTAGGAAAAGCCCAGGAAATGTCGTATTGGTGAAGGCTCCAGGAAATGAACGCAACTGAATGCCAATCGTACCGCTGGAACATCGTCATGTAGTTTATTTTCAGAATAAATAACCAGGAACGGAGGACATAACGGAGCAGAACGACGCTAATCGATTTATTTTCTTTCTAGTTCATTTCTAGATAGCAGCTTTAATCTATGAAGAAAACTGCGTTCTGCATTATAATTTTGATTGTCTAACATTGCCGGGGGTATCTCGCCGGTAGACGATGGTTTTACTGAGTCTTCGGTGAGGCATCATGAACTCTCATCATGCTGTTCCCAGAGTATGATACGGATAACGGTGTTCACTGGATTTCGTTTTATAGAGCACTAGCCATCCCGACGATGAGGCATGAGGCATCCTAAGAGGTTATTATAATTAAATTCCATATTGATATTTTGTGTGCAGCTTCGAAATCTGTAAACAACCATTAGTAGATGGCCTAACTTGATCTTTGTCGTTATTAGGTACATCAGAAGGGCAACGGTTAACACTGTAAAAGCAAAAAAAATTCCCTAAACCTAGAATGAATGAACAGACGAGCGAATAAATGAAGTAGCGGGAATGTCTTGCACACCTTGCAAAACTGAGGGCCGGAGACGAATTAAAGCGTTGAAATAGTGGACGTTGGGACTCCGTCAACAACTGATTGAATCAATATTTGATTTCAGTGCAATTCTCCGACAGAAATATATTTCATCTATGGCTTTTCTGCAGCGCTGCCGTGATATTTAATAATCACCTGCGCTGATCGTTGCTCGACGACGATTCGCTGCGGTCGCAATACTTTGTGTTGTCATGGCAGAAAACATTTTGTCCAGGAATTTTGTGTAGCGTGCCCCCCCCCAGAATTTCGTCCAATTTTTTCATTTTAGTCGTATCTTCAATCCTTTGACCAGCCGATGTTTTGCGACGAGACAGCCCAGCCATGACAATGGTAGCTTTTTACTTCAAAGGGGAGGGTCGTTTTGGCCTCGTCATGAGACTCCCATAGAGTATTGTGACTTTTGTCAAGGAACGAACATGTCAAGCTCGAACCCAGCCACCTCTTGGAGGTCTCACCGCTGCTTCTCCGGTATTAAATATGTATTAATAAATTTATTTACGCTCACTTTTGGTATCTTGAAAGCGATTTCTTCAGAGTAGGGCAGCGTCCAACCAATGTGGCCCATATTAAGTTGGATTCCTTTATGTTCAGAAATAAAACTGGAAACTGCAATATGATGGTTATATAGGCACTGATGAGAGAGAGAGACCGAACTTATGAATGGATATCATGCCACAGGGAAACAAGCTCATGATTTTAATAATCTGGAGACTCGCACTTATTGTTTCGACTGCTGTAATTAACGTAATTGCAATTACATCGCGATTCGTTGGCAAACAGAAGCTCGACCCTTTGTGAATGCCAGGTTGAGTTGGAAACATGAACGCGTGATTGATCTGTCTGCGTGTAAAGTCGTTAACTTTTTGTAACCTTTTTGGAAAGATCATCACTGCTGAAAGGCTTTATCGCTGAGGTAGCATTCAACTGAAACATCGTAAATTTCGAGGGGTCTTCCTTTTCTGTTGCGTTGTTAAATATGGTTATGGTACAGCTTATTCTTGACAGCGTCCTGCAAACCTCAGCAGACGTCAAACAGCAGAGCTGTTATAAATTTAGTGCATGCTTAAGCAAAGTAGTGTCACTCATATGCTAGTTTTCTTACTGTGGTAGATGGTATGCTTGCATGCACGATATGTCTTCGTCTTCATGAATGAAGATTATGGTGGCGTGGAGGAACAGTGCCTAAGAGGTCGGCTTTGAACTCCGGGTTCGAACCTGCTCAAAGAACAACCTTTGTGTTTATCGCGACTTCTATTGAGCATGGAACTGATGACCGTTAACCAGCCCAGAAGCGGGTAGTAATCCTGTCACTTGGAAATAGTGTTGACAGCATGGTATTCTGGTCTGACCATGCCACGATGGACGAGGCATACTGCAATTCTGTCATATGCGAGTGCCCTTTGTGACAATACGCCTTGACCCACCTAATAGCTGATTATCCGTTGTAACAACCAGCAGAAAGTGTAACCCAAATTTCGATTTAAAAAGTTTGGACGTCATAAAACCCAAAGGTTAATTCATTCTTTAGTTTATCTTACTGTAACGGGGTTTTAGTTTATTTTCAGGTTCATATTAAACAATAGCTTATAATATCTGATGATCTGTTGTAGCCTGTTGTTACCGAAA